ATAATCAGAAACGTTGAAATAAATATCAATAAATACTGGTCAGGACAATAATTAATTGCATCTTTACTGGACAAACTTAATTTCCATATTGCTTTCTACAAGTTAAACAGTTGTAAAATAGTTAAAAGATTATACATAGATAACCTGGAAAAGTGAGCCTGACACCAAGACATTTGTGTGTGTGTGTTTGGTATTTAAAAGTATTTCGTAATTTTTTCTGGGGAAATTATACGGATTCTTGCTGTTGTCATCCAGGCTGGAGTGTAATGGTGCGATCTCAGCTCACTGAAACCTCTGCCTCCCGGGTTCCAGCAATTCTCCTGCTTCCACCTCCCGAATAGCTGAGATTACAGGTGCCCGCCACCACACCCCCAGCTAATTTTTGTATTTTTACAAAAGAGACGGGGTTTTACCGTGTTGGCCAGGCTGCTCTTGAACACCTGACCTCAGGTGGTCCACCAGCCTCGGCCTCCCAAAGTGCTGGGATTATAGGTGTAAGCCACTGTGCCTAGACTAAAATGTTTTGTTCTGAGACGGAGCCTTGCTCTGTCGCCCAGGCTGACGTGCAGAGGTACGACCTTGGCTCACTGTAATCTTCGCTTCCTGGGCTCAAGCGATTCTCCTACCTCAGCCTCCTGAGTAACTGAGACTACAGGCATGCATCACCACTCTTCACTAATTTTGGGGTTTTTAATAAAGACGGGGTTTTGCTATATTGACCAGGGTGGTCTCGAACTCCTGTGATCCGCCTGCCTTGGTCTCCCAAAGTGCTGTGATTACAGGCGTGAGCCACCGCGTCAAGCCTCGCAAAATGTTTTAACACGTGAACATGTACGTTTTCCTGAGAAAGTAATCCATAATGTTTACTATGTTTTCAAAAGAAGCGTGCCAAAAACAGGTTAAGAATAATTGCTCTAGCCACTGCCTACAATTCAAATCCCTCAACACTTAGTGGCCTGGGTCTTTTACCTTGTCTGAATCTTATCATCTCAATTTCCTTATTAAATTTTCAAGACCCAGGTTAAATGGCAGCTTACTCTTTGAGGTCTTCCACCACCATGTGTTCTCTAATTAATTGCCTCATTTGTTTTTTCTAAGTTTCTTTACTAACGCACTCTGCATACCGTATCTAGCATTTATTGTTAGTTCCCTTCCATAACTGGACTTTTAACTCTTTGAGGACGATGGCAGAGTCCTGCAAAAGAAGATGATAATTTTAGAATATAAATCCTCACGTTCGTTATCCGCTGGCAGCCACAGCTTGGCTCCAATTTGCGAAATAAGGCACTCCTTTACTGGTTCCTGCTTCTGTCGGCATCCGTACTTCCGCACGGACGCCGTCATTTGCTGGGCGCGCCCCAAACCTCCCCACGCAGGGTCCCAAAGCGCCCCCACTCTCTGAAAACGGGAACTACAAATGCTGCCGGAGGACTTTCGCGCGTGCGCATAGAGAACTTGGCCAAGGAATTGATGGGAGCGCGTGAGGGGGGCGGGGTAAGGACAGCAGATGATAGAGTAGACCGCGAGAAAAAGGACGGAGTTATTTAGAGTTTGCGCAAGCTGAGAGACCCTATAGACCGCCTGTAACTTACTCCGTTCAACTCCCAAAATACAGGGTCAAGTACTGCGGCCTTCAGTCCGTTCAGTCTCTCGATCCCGACAGTCTTGGTTACTTTCGCGTCATAGGACAAGCGACAACGTTCTCTGGTCCCAGTCGAGAAAGATGGGCCCGGAGGCAGTGCGCGCGCCACCTACGTCACAGGCGAGTTGGTTCCGGGAGGGCGGGGCATCGGAGAACGCGGCCATCTGAGGGGGCTCGAAGCCCAGGAAGAACGTGATTGGCGGGTTGAAAGTGGCGGTTTTTGGCTGAGCCAGAGGTGGGCGGGCTAAATCTTGGGTCCTCATCTGGTGCGGTCCCGCGTTAATGACGTCACGTTGTTTCGCGGGAGAAATTCGAAAGTGGATTTTGTGGAATTTGACAGGTGAGGTGAAGTGTTTCTTGGGATTTCCTAGGAATAAAAGGTAAATAGGCAGGGAGACTTGGGGGATTTGGGGCGAAGGGACGAAAGACTCTGCTCCATAAGAGAACCGGTAGGGATACTGTTTGGAACCAGGATTACGGTGGTCGCAGCTGCTTGAACTGCTTGTAAAAAGTTGTGCCTCAGCCAGGCGCGGTGGCTCACGCCTGTAATCCCAGCACTTTGGGAGGCCGAGGCGGGTGGATCACGAGGTCAAGAGATCGAGACCATCCTGGTCAACATGGTGAAACCCCGTCTCTACTAA